CACTATGTTGCTGGGTTTTAAGGTTAAACCTTCACAGTCGAGTCTATCAAGATCCTTCTTAGGTAGCACATTCAGAGATGAGTCGATATCAACGAAAACATGGGCCAAAGTTGTGCCCCTGCATTTAACAGAGACATACAATGCCTCGTTGTGCTTCCTCCCTCTTGGTGTCAAGTCAGCATCAGAAAAGCCTAAACCATTATCCGCAGTCAAGCTAGCCACACAGTCTTAGAATTGATCAGCAGAGGTTTCTTGTGGTACATGGGCAGTTTTAAGGAATTTCACCAAGGCCTTTGCATGAGCCTCGAAGCACAACAATAAATCCAGCATGGAAATCTTTGACGGAGTCTGCCCTAACTGTTCGACTACGTTGTAGTCGCTTCTCTTTATAATTTTCAGAATCTCTTCCATCTCCTTTTGGGAGGCCTCGGGGATAGATACTGATTATGCCTTCATTTGGACAGGCTCAACCAGAATGCCTTTGCGCCGAGTCTCGGTCGACTTGGTGGCAGTAGTATCAGTAGGTGTAAATGTAGGAATTGTAGTAGTAGTAGTAGTGTCAACAGGAACAAAAACAGGGACGATCGCAGGATCGATAACAGTCTTCAGAGGAGCAATCTCTGGGGAGAATACTCTGCCACTTCGGGTTATCTTGCTGGTTCCCACAATGTTACTGATGTCGGGGTCAGCCTTCTCAAGAATTGAGTCCTCAACAGCCGGCCAATCCTGTTTGACACTGTGATAGTAGACGTTGCCCCCAAAATTCCACGGGACAGTCTTATCTGATGAGTACGGGATTGGTCCAGGCATAGTAATTATCAGTGGAGCTACTTTAGGAACTGATGTAATCCTAACGGGTCTTTTGGTGGAGACCCTAGAAGAATTGGCGGAAATGGTTACTATTGAAACATCATTGTAGGAAATGGTCGGAACGAGAGTCTTTTCAAACAAAATCTGTTTGTCATCCATTAGGCGTTGAACACCTGCTTTCAATAAATGACATTCAGTTGGTAGGGAGGAACAGAGGTGACAGCTTTCGTCATAGCCTGGAAATAAACAGCCTTCAATAGGTTCTTCTTAATCTGATCCCATTAATTTCTATTGGCCACAAAATCTAGTCAGCCAGCTCACATGCTCATTATCCCCATCTTTTCACACACAAATTCATGATTCAAATCCATTAGTAAACAATCATCACATGTTGACTAGAGCTAAAAGTATTAAATCTAAACCTAAAGTGTTTCTAGTGCACACTAAACCATACTTCACCAAACAAGCCCTTTCCAATCCATACTGGTATGAAGCTATGAAGACCGAATATGATTCATTGTTGAAGACTAACACTTTGACATTACCCAAACTTCTACCACATAGGAAAAATATAGGGTGCAAGTGGGTATTCATGTATAGGAGAATCTAGATGGAAGTGTTAATGAATATAAAAGCAAGACTTGTAGCTAAGGGCTTTCATCAACAAGAAGACTTTGACTTTCACGAAACAATCTCCCATGTAGTCAAGCCAACCACAATTCATATTATTCTGACTCTGGATATCTACTTCAAATGGGAAGTCCAATGAATTGACATCAATAATGCATTTTTCAATGGTGATCTGCATGAAGAAGTATACATGCACCAATAATTTGGCTTTGTTGATTCAAACACCTCACTTGTTTACAAACTAAAAAGGGAAATATGTGACTTGAAGCAGGCCCCATGAGCCTCATATGACAAGCTTCATCGAGCTCTTATTCAATTTAGCTTTGTAGCTAGCAGATGTGATCACTATTTCTTTGTATACCAATACCAAGGAGTGGAATTATATGCGTTGGGTATATGTTGATGATATACTCATAATTGGTACAACTTCTGCATTAATTCACTATTTTATCACCAAGTTACATGCAAAGTCTGCTCTGAAACAACTTGGTACTCCAAAGTATTTTTTAGGAATTGAGGTGCATTATTATAAGAATGGATATATCTTACTTACACAGTCCAAATACATCAAGGATCTTTTGAATAAAGTCAACATGGAAGGTGAAAATGAGGTCATAACTCTCATGTTTAGTTAGTGCAAGCTAAGAAAAAATGGCCCTGATGTTCTTTCAGATCCATCTATGTACGAATCATAAGTAGGTGCTCTACAATGTGTCACTCAAACATGTATTGATATTTCATTTTGTATAAACAAGGGGCGTCGGTTCATATGTCTACACCATTGGATTTGCAGTTGAGTTTGGTAAAGAAAATTCTTCAATATCTTAGTGGCACCATCGCTCACGGTATGCTCATGTCACCAACAAATCTGCTCACAAACATCTCATTAAGACTCTACGTTAACTCAGACTAGGAAAGCAACCTGGATGATTAACATCAGGCACATGCATGTTCCTTGGCCCTAATCTGGTTGTGTGGAGCTCAAGGAAACAATCTCACGTAGCTCGTTTAAGCACGGAAGTTGAGTATCGTGTCGTTGCTCATAAAACTTCAGAAGTGTTGTGGATTGAATTTTTTCTTGTAGAACTTCATCTCGACTATCTTACTCCAACTTTGGTTTGTGACAATCTCAATGTTGTACTACTCTCTCATAATCATGTCGTACATACAAGGACCAAAATCATATAGCACTTCACATATATTTTGTTCGAGAACGTATAATATCTGACAAGCTGCATATTCAACATGTTCATGATCATGCGCGAAATTGCAGATATACTAAAAAAGTCTATTCTTATTGCTTTGTTCACTAACTTTGGCACCAAACTCAAAGCTCATGACTTTCACTCATGCTTTCGCCTTCTTAGTTTTCAACTTTCGAATAAGCATTCACTCAAATTTTCTCTCTCTGTTAGGGTTAGGATATCTATTACAAATGAAATGAGAATGGACAATAAAATATATGTTAGCTTTCACTCAAGTTTTCGTCCATGTTAACACCTACTTACAACGTCAACGCCATTGGACAATCAGATTTGACTTTGACTAATATTTCTAATAGAAAGGATAAACATGTCACACTTTTAAAAGATAGGAGATCACCATGGTCATTTTAAAAGAAAAAGGACAAAAATAGACTCAGAGATAAAGATAAAGGACTAAAAAAAGATATCCATTCAAAAATTAATTATACATTTTTTATAAAAACATGCATAACTTAACATTTTTACATTGGCGGCACATGCATGTTTGCATTACACTTAGTTTTATTCCTTTTATTTTGTCTTTTTCAATAACCAATATAACTCATAACCATTAAAAAGTCACACTAGAAATGAGAAGTTTTACTGTGAAAAAATAAATCTTTGACTCTTTTGTTTAATGACTAAATCAATTCAGTTAAGTATTTGTGTTTATCTATTGCAGTTTTTAAGCTCTTATGAAAGTGGCATTGCATTAAATCCAAAACGTTGTAGTGTTAACACATGGTTTATCAACATGGCTAGATATTTTAAAAAAAGTTTAGGCCTAATAAAGACACTTGTTAGATTACAAATTAGGTTTGATCTTTTAAAATATCTTTCAACATAGTGTCACCTTTAGTCATGGTATCATTAGAAAATATTCAATCATATCTAACTACTTTGCTAAATATCTAATATAAGAAGGCTAAAATATCTATCAATTAGTTGAATCTAGATTTGTTCTTAGTATACGTATGTGTTACCCTTGTGTACAGAGGAAAGTTCCTGCACCCACAACCAAATTGTTAGGCAAATGTTTTGCTATTTATATGTCTAATCTATAAAACATTGAATTTGAACCACAGAACCATCATGTTATATGTCTAATTTGAGTCTGTTGTTTCCAAAGTTGATCTCACTATATATACACATATGTAATATCTCAAAATTCCTTCATCACACATTCCATCAACTAGTTCATTTTCTTCAAATACTTGTTATCAACTTGTGATAGGAAATAATGGCATTTCGTTTACCTTTGATAAAGCAAGCTAAGAAGCATATCCTGTTCCGCACACTTTCAAGAGGTAAAAAAGTGTTGTCAGCTAATAGTAATATACCAAAAGGATATTTAGCAGTATATGTTGGAGAAGAGAACAAGAAGAGATTTGTGGTTCCAATATCATATTTGCATCAACCTGCTTTTCAACAATTTCTTTGTAAAGCTGAAGAAGAATTTGGATTTAACCATCCAATGGGCGGTCTCACCATTCCTTGCAGAGAAGACATCTTTGTTAATGTCACTTCTCAGTTGAAAACTTAATCACAACAGCAAACTCAAATGCCTTTCTCCAGAGATCTTCAAGAAGCATGCAAATGTAAATCGATTATGCATCTTTCTATCACGACATGATATTTACATCCACTTAATCAAATGGACTATGTAGGGCCAAATGGACTATGAAGTGGGTATACAAGGTGCCTAGAGTTGAAGTAACTCGACACAAGGAAAGACTTGGTGCAAAAAGATTTCTTCAGAAGGAAGAAATCGACCTTGATGAATTCTTTGTACTTGTGGCTAGAGTCGAAATAATCAGGTTGATTGTTGGTCTAGCAGAAATGAACAGTTGACACATATGTCTGATGGACGTGAAATGTGTATTCCCGAATGGATTCTTAGATGAAGAAGTTTATGTTGCACAATCAATTGGATTTGTGAAGCATGGGGAAGAGTGAAAGGTGTACTAGGTGCATAAAGCCATGTATGGACTCAAACAAGCTCCAAGGAGTTAGAATAAGAAAATTGATGGTTTCCTAAGGGAGAAGAGATTTTTGAAGTGCACAATTGAGTATGGAGTATATGTAAGAAGAAGCAAGAGTGAATTGCTTATACTATGTCTCTATGTCGATGACTTGTTGATAACAAGTAGCAGCAAGAAAGAGATCGAAGATTTCAAAGACGATCTCACCAAGGAATTCGAAATATCTAATCTGTGTGACATTACATATTTCCTTGGAATCGAATTCTACAAGAGTAATAGGGGTTTGATAATATATCAAAGAAGATATGCAGGAGAAATTCTCAAGAGATTTGATATGGAAGAATGCAACTCCACTTCGACACCTGCAGAACCAAGACAAAAACCATTGAAAGATTCAAAAGAAGATGAAGTCGATCCAACCCAATGCCAAAGACTTATTGGGTCCCTAAGGTACCTTTGTCGCTCAAGGTCTGACTTAGCATACAATGCAGGTATGATGAGTAGATTCATGGAGAAGTCAAAGGTATCACATCTAGCAGCGACAAAAAGGATATTAAGGTATCTGAAAGGAACTCTCGACTATGACATTTTGTTTCCTGCAAATGATAAAGGAAAAGAATGCAAGTTAATGGGATATACTAAATCGATTTGGTGTAGTGATGCTAAGGATATAAAATCCACAACTGATTATGTGTTTATGTGAGGTGGTGCACCAATTGCTTGGAGTTCGAGAAAAAAACCAGTAGTGGCATTATCATCGTGTGAATCAGAGTACATAGTTTCTTCTCTCCGTGCATGTCAAGGAACATGGATGACTTAACTTGGTCGAAGAAATCACAAGGGAAGGATCATGGAGTAATTACCATGAAGATCGACAACATATCAGCTATCAATCAGGCAAAGAATCTGATAGCACATGGTCGAAGCAAGCACATCGAAATGAGGTTCCACTATCTTCGAGAGAAGGTAGCTTAAGGGAAAATGAACTCGGAACACTGTAGAACTAAGAATCAGATTGCAAATATTATGACGAAAAATATACAGGTCGAAGTATTCAGAAGACTAAGAGTTATGATGGATGTATATAGTTTAGACACAATGAATAAGACGGTGTGTTGAGAATATAATTTCTTGTATCGGAGAAGGTTGTTGCTCGACACAGGGTGTGTCGAATTAGTCTAATTGTGTGTGTCGAAATGTCTAAGCAGTTTGCTTGACAGGATTTCAATTTGATCTAAAATAGGTATTTGAGCTTTTAGTTTCGGGCTTTTACATATGGAGCAAGCTAGCTCAATTACAAATAGAGGGAGTAACCCTAATTTTGTAACTAACTCAGAATGAGTATTCACAAAATTTGCAGTTGCAAGTGAATAAAGTTTTTCCACAGTTTGAGGGCAGAAATAAACTCTGCAGAAAATCATCTTCTCTTCTCCATATTTTGTCCAACCCTAATTTTCTTTCTTTTCATTGTCATTATATAGTGATAACAATCTAATTTATCACGATTGATAGAAATTTCTCATAGATTTTGGTGGATTCTCAACCGTTAACACATGGTTTATCAACATGGCTAGATATTTTAAAAAAAGTTTAGGCCTAATAAAGACACTTGTTAGATTACGAATTAGGTTTGATCTTTTAAAATATCTTTCAACATAGTGTCACCTTTAGTCATGGTATCATTAGAAAATATTCAATCATATCTAACTACTTTGCTAAATATCTAATATAAGAAGGCTAAAATATCTATCAATTAGTTGACTCTAGATTTGTTCTTAGTATACGTATGTGTTACCCTTGTGTACAGAGGAAAGTTCCTGCACCCACAACCAAATTGTTAGGCAAATGTTTTTGCTATTTATATATCTAATCTATAAAACAATGAATTTGAACCACAGAACCATCATGTTATATGTCTAATTTGAGTCTGTTGTTTCCAAAGTTGATCTCACTATATATACACATATGTAACATCTCAAAATTCCTTCATCACACATTCCATCAACTAGTTCATTTTCTTCAAATACTTGTTATCAACCTGTGATAGGAAATAATGGCATTTCGTTTACCTTTGATAAAGCAAGCTAAGAAGCATATCCTGTTCCGCACAGTTTCAAGAGGTAAAAAAGTGTTGTCAGCAAATAGTAATATACCCAAAGGATATTTAGCAGTATATGTTGGAGAAGAGAAAAAGAAGAGATTTGTGGTTCCAATATCATATTTGCATCAACCTGCTTTTCAACAATTTCTTTGTAAAGCTGAAGAAGAATTTGGATTTAACCATCCAATGGGCGGTCTCACCATTCCTTGGAGAGAAGACATCTTTGTTAATGTCACTTCTCAGTTGGAAACTTAATCACAACACCAAACTAAAAAAAAATTCTCATGTGATGTGATCTTCCAAAAGCTTGCAAATGCAAATCGACTCTACAACTTCCTATCAAGACATGATATTTGAACCAACCATCATTTCAAGACTTATTGAACCAAGCTAAGGAACAATTTGAGTATGATCATTCCATGGGTAGTCTCACTATTTCTTGCAGAGAAGAAATTTTCTTAGATATTACTTCTCGCTTGAGTAGGTTCTAACTACTTTGGTTGAAGGAGCTGGCATAGATCTTATTTAATTTGAGGAAATTTGTGTATCTACTTCAAATGGGAAGTCCAATAAATTGACATCAATAATGCATTTCTCAATGGTGATCTGCAAGAAGAAGTATACATGCACCAATAATTTGGCTTTGTTGATTCAAACAACTCACTTGATTACAAACTAAAAAGGGAAATATATGGCTTGAAGCAGGCCCCATGAGCCTCATATGACAAGCTTCATCGAGCTCTTATTCAATTTAGCTTTGTAGCTAGCAGATGTGATCACACTCTCTTTGTGTACTAACACCAAGGAGCAACATTATATGCTTTGAGGTATATGTTGATGATATGCTCATAATTGGTACAACTTCTGCATTAATTCACTATTTTATCACCAAGTTGCATGCAAAGTTTGCTCTGAAACAACTTGGTACTCCAAAGTATTTTCTAGGAATTAAGGTGCATTATTAGAAGAATGGATATATCTTACTTACACAGTCCAAATACATCAAGGATCTTTTGAATAAAGTCAACATGGCAGGTGAAAATGAGTTCACGATTCCCATGTTTAGTTAGTGCAAGCTAAGCAAAAATGGCTCTGATGTTCTTTCAGATCCATCTATGTACAAATCACAAGTAGGTTCTCTACAATATGTCACTCAAACATGTCTTGATATTGCATTTTGTATAAACAAGGGGTGTCGGTTCATATGTCTACACCATTGGATTTGCAATTGAGTTTGGTAAAGAAAATTCTTTGATATCTTAGTGGCACCATCGCTCACGGCACCAACAAATCTGCTCACAAACATCTCATTAAGACCCTACGTTAACTCAGACTGGGCAAGAAACCCGGATGATTGAAAATCAACATCAGGCACATGCACGTTCCTTCACTACTACAAAAAAGGGAAAAGACAGCGTTTTTTTAGGATTTTAACAGCGCTTTAAAGCGCTGCCCAAAGCAGCGCTGCTAAAAGAAAAGATAGCGCTTCTTTTCAATATAAAAGCGTTGTCTGATAACGAGAAATCGTACCATATAATTATTATGCTTTTTACCGATTTTATAATACATTAAGTCATCTAACTCCCGATTATTCCGAGTTTATTTGTCTTTTTGCAGGTATAACAATTGTCAACTCAAACCAATGGAAAAGGACTACATGAAGGAGGCTAGACAATAAACAAAGAGAAAAAGAACTAAAACTGCAAAGTTTGGAGATTTTGAAGCAGTGACGACCGTCACACGCTCGTGACGGGTGTAAAGACCCCCAACTTGAAGCAACGCTCGTCACACATCACTGACGAGCGTAATGCGCTATTTAAGCGCATTACGACCGTCACCCACCTGTGACGACCGTCACGCGCGTAAAGATGAACGTTGTAAATTGGTGGAGACGTGGGCAACGCAAGGGCAGACTTGTTCTCCTATTTTCCCTCCACTCAGTAACCATGCTTCCTATTTTCCCTCCACTCAAGCCTTTTCTCAAGATACTTTCAACTACTATTTTCTCTCCTATATATATATGTGTGGTAGTGCAAAGCTGCAAGGGTCGAAGGAATTCTCCCAGAACAATTTATTACTTTTGCAATTATTTTTATTTCCTTGTTTTAGAGCATTTCCTACGTATTGTAATTCCTACTTCCAGCATTATTTCAAGCTTTAGTTTTTAGGTGTTAATTCTTCATTCAAGAATTAACACAATTTATTTACTTCAATCAAGCCGCAAAGGATATTGTAACACTTCAAGATTACCATAGCAACGTTAATTCCAGATTTTTATTGCAATTAATATTTATTCATTTTTTGTATTATGCCAATTATTTTTATGAATTATATTTTGAATTGCATTATTGTTAAATCTATTATGTCCGGCTAAATTACTCGTACCGGTATGTGACTCTTAAGAACCGAAAGAATTCAGTGATACCTTGGCCAAAAATATTTATTTATAAAACAATTTCTGGTTTCCAATTTCCATGCTTAATTTAACTACCCTTGTCACGAGAGTGAGAGGTTAATTAACACGATTTTGCCACGAGAGTGAGAAATTAATTAAGGCAAGAACCTGCATGCGAGAGCTGGGGTTCAACCCAGATAGTGGTAACGAAACATTAATTTTTAAATACACGAGAGTGTTTTAATAAATTAATTAAACTCAAATTGTTTTCAAAAAGTGTTATTAAATTTAAAGTGCATCCACTAGGTTTAGTAGCATAACTTATTTCATGAACACGAGAGTGTATGTCTCAGGTTTTTAAACAATTAGTTTTTACCAAAATACTTTATAGGCCAAGCAATTCACCGAATTCCCGAAGTCCGACTATCACATACCGGTATAACTATTACTATTATTTTTAATTAAACTGTTTCCCCCCTAAAATCGAATATTCATCGCTTAGTTAAACAAACTGTAACATTAGATCGTATGCGATTGATCCTTAGTCTCTGTGGGTTCGATAATCATTTAAAACTAGAACGACTGAACTGTATACTTGCAGTTAGTATCCCGACAGACTCATAAAGAGCCTATCAAGTTTTTGGCGCCGTTGCCGGGGACTGATTAGTCAATTAATTACGATTCTTCTGTTGCGCGTTTAGACTAGGCAACAGAAAACCCTTTTTCGATTTGTATGCCAAGGACTTGCTCACAAGGCAAACCACTTGACAAATCGACGGATGAACCTGAACGCATTCTTTCCGTAAGACGTGCAGTCAGGGATTACTGTTTAAATCACGCTATTCCTTTACCCAAACCCGAAATCAAGATTGATTCTGAAATAGATTCTACTTCTTCCTCTGAGACCGAAACTAATGCAGAATTAGACATGGCCGAAGAACAAAGGACCCGTCCACTGAAGGAGTACGCAACTCCATCACAACAAGAACCCCACAAAAGCATTGCTACTCCAGCAATAAACCGAAACGATTTTGAGTTGAAACCGTCATTGATATCAGCTATCCAACAACGCTAATTCTCTGGAGATCCTTCCGAGGATCCAAATGAACATCTTACAAAATTCGTTCAGTTTGCCGACACAGTTATAGCAAATGGTGTTAGTAAAGATGCAATAAGATTACGTCTTTTCCCTTTCTCGCTAAGAGAT